CTTGGCGAGCACACATACCCTGTTAGCATCCCTTTAACTGCCTATTCTCAAAACGCTGTCCAAACGCTCCCCCCCCCCCCCTTTTTCGTTCCCCCAAAATTCTCGATGCATCTGGTTTACTATGCAATCACTCAACCAATATTTGTTTCCAGAAGATTGACGTAGCACATATTAACTATACTCGTTTTCACCACAAGAAAAAAATTGCGGTGGCTTAGCTCGGCTATGCCAGGATATACGTAGCTTGAGCTTATGCGCACAAAATGAGAGTTGCTATCAAGCGGCTGCGGTGCAGCGTCAGACTTGGCTACTGCGCAACGGAGGCGCACAGCTGGGCACGCGGCGGCGCCAGTGCCTCTACCGCGGCTATGACGTCACTTTTCTGGAATGCGCAGATCGGCGAGGCGGGCGCGACGGCGGCGGCGGCTCCGGCGCGCCAGCTGTGCGCCGTGTGACGTCACTGCTTTTCGCGCATTCGCAGCACGGAGCACGGCTCATTATGCGAGCCACGCGAAACTGCTCAACCTCGGGCAGTGCAGCTCACGCTACAAAAGGAAGTTTTGTGCAATTCCTCATACGCCGCGCGGGGTACTTGTTACGATATTTGGTTGTCGGAGGAAGAAGCGATGCTTTTGACATTTGAAATGTGTACTTCTTGATAAGGTAACATACATATAATAGAAAATGCGCCTACATATATCTTAATACTCTACATAAAGAAGGAGTTTAGTAACGCTCCGCGAGGATCGGGACTTCTTTTTACTACGGTTCTTGAGGTGAAAACCAGTATAGTTGCAAGTACGAAATCAAATCTAGTCTAAACTACCTGGTATCCAAATGAGAAGTCATACTTGTAACTTGGTAACTCGCTACCAATCACAATTTTAATATACGTCATCTGTCAGTTCCCTACCCTCCCCTCCCTCCCTCCCTCCCTCCCTCCCAGCAACGTCCGGGTATCGATACCCAGCATAGAGATAGTACACAACTGCGCATTTACATTTTTTTAGGTCACTCGCAAGATACTATGGTAAGAATATAAGGTAACCTCGATCTACTTTCATCCAAAAGTAAATTATTGCGACTGCCCCTCTTTCAGGAAAATTGCAATCACAACGGTGACCTCAGGATTTAATTTCTCGCATTTTTCCTCGCATTGATAACGTGCGTAAAGTTCTAGCTTCAGTCATTTCATTTTTTTTAAATTCACTATTCAATTAGCAACGACAGATTGAAATAACCTGCGTAACAGCATTACGTTTGACCCAAGAAAATCAGGTTAAATGTGTATACTAACCGACTATTTGCAATCGCGCTTATAGCACAAGCATCGATTACTTTTGCTAGTGATTTGTACAAATACTTTGTTCGCGTCCTTTCTTTTGTATAACACATAGTTTAGTGTTACGTGTAACGACGTTTTAGTGTTTATTTTTTAGTATTTGCATTTGCATAACGATATCTCGCAACTCCTAACCCCTTATCTAATGCATCGTACGGGCCCTCAAGGTATAATGAATGGCGACAATGATAATGACGTGTTCTAAAGACGGAAACCGCTTCCTTAACAATCGAAAAAAAGCTCAGTAGTTTACGCTATCACAGCAGTAGTTTGCTTGCCTCTGGCTATCGTGTGTCGTCGGCGTATCTCAGAGTATTACCGTGTGTCAAGGAGAAGCCACCTTGGGAGTGCGGTACATAGCTTAGGTATGACCTTACCAAGTTCTTGCGTTCCAGCTAACAAACCATGCAAGGGAACAGTTAATATCTGAGGGACTTCAACAAAAAATACACGACATCGATTACGTCACAGATATCTTAAGTCCTAGAGGATTTCAACACAAAATACGCGAGCGACATTGATTGCATCACAAATACTTTACAGGATTCGCTCCTTTTTGTGCTAAACTGGAGAGAAGCCGTAAGATCACCTTGAAGAAAGCAAGTGCTACACACTGTAAACGACTTTATTTTCACGAGTTCTATAGTTGGAGAATCTTGCAAAATGTGGTTTTTGTGAATACTTTTTGCTCAGGCATAAAATTTCGTGACTGCGGGTGGTATATGTTATGCGTTTGTAACTATAGAATAATATATTCACGTGATCTATCTTTCGCCATATTTTTCTAGTCGCGAAATTTGCGAAAATGAGGTCCTCACGAAAATGAAGTCGTTTACAGTGTACAACCGACGCTGTATTTCGATATTGTCGATGATTTGTAAATTCTCTATTCTCTGTAAACACTATAGACATTCAGACTTACCTGAACACCGCCAAAAATGCGTTTGCTTTCTTCGAGAACTCATGTTCCACTCGCTGAACGAGTTGATATATTTCTACGTTAATGGTACAATCTTGTTGCGCCTAACTAAACCGTGTAACCGTAATTCAATCATAATGCTCCACTGGTGCCGCCCATAATGATCTCAATAGCACGGGATTCAAGCCATGAGTTCTTCGCGTGCAATGGGTCATTCTTAAACATAAAAAAAAAGGTCTGAACTCGAGAGTTGTGAAGCCAGAGGCGATACGTAATGCTCTTCATTAAGGAACAATCTCTAAATAATAAATGGTAGTGAAGATTTACAAAAGAAAACCCGAACTTCTCTCTGCTTCATAAATGTCACATGTGACTCTTCCATGTTTTCCTTTCTCCTTTTCTTTAGTTGAAAATCATGAAACTATACAACACAACAAGGATGACAAACAAAAATGTTAAAAATTTCAAAATAAGAAAGGGGTGAGTCTTTTTAAGCCGTACTCTTTGCGTCCTTACCCTTAGCAAAAAGAGGCCGTACTTCAAACGAAGTAGAAATATATTTAGTACGAATATGCATTTTGTATTTATTCTGTATTATTTTGGCCGCATTCGAAATACGCGCGTAAGGTATTCAAAATACATTATAAATATGAATCAAAAAATATTTTAGATATACCAAAAATATTATCCCTTCACACTCAAGATGCCATTTGTGCATTAAAAACCGGTTACACATTTTTTTTTTATTTTCGGTTTTGTCAGCAAATGGTGTCCCTGTGATATTGGAAGGCACTACTAAATACATCTTACAAGGCTACATTAGAAACGAACACAAACACAACCACCAGGAGGCACTGAACAGCTCATTCACAGTCCCGTTGACTGCTGTAGAGCCTTATATAGCCTACATATTGAAGGTAATCATTTTTTCGGTGACCACCTCTGCGCTTATTAAAGTTCCAAGCATTCAATCTTCTCCTCGGGAGTCTGTCAAAGGGGAAACAGTGTTTTGAAGTTCGTGGACGATATCTCTTACTAAAAGGCATTGGTACAACTAATAACGATTCGGCGCAGTCCCTAAAACAATATCCACACAAACGGCTCATAAGATACATGTTATTGCTTCTCTGCGTAGCACCACTCAGGACGAAGCGAATCAAGGCAGTTTCTTCACTTTAAAATAGTGTAAACGACATTATTTTAGTGAAGACCTAATTCTCGCGAAGTTCGCGAATCGCCTACAATTCCGAAAAATAGGTCCCGTGGACAATTCCGGCAAAATGTAAAAACATTAAAATCGATATTGCGATCCCAGCGCGTCGCGAAAATTAGAATTTGCAAATTATTCCAAAACTCCAACTTTGACCTAAATCGCGAAATATTGAGCCCGCGAAAAATAAATATTTTACAGTAGTTGTTCTGCCTTTCCTTTTTAGTAGTTGTCTATTTAATATGGTAGTTAATGTCACTATATTAAAGTCACTATTCACATCACGTACAATGGTGAGTATACACGTTCAGTGGACTAACATTGTGCTAACAAAACCACGCCAAACGTATCTGTTCACAGCACCTGCTGAAGTTTTCCAGCATCAGCAAATGTTGTGGTTCTAGTTCCCGAACCCCGTTTGTGATTGGTGTGCAAGGAACTGATCAGGTGTGTTCTTGATAGAAAAAAGGAAACAATAACATAAACTGGGCTGATTTATCAGTGCGATGCTGCGCAATTCAGTTGACAAACTAATCAAATGTTGTATTTAGGCGCTTCAGTGTACTCCATATCTGCTTGAAGTGAACTTCTAAAAGGGGAGCTTTTCAATATTTTGGTAGTTTAAGTCAAACTACCAAAGTATTGCAGTCAAAAGGTACTTAGAGTATAACACAACAGTATTTACGATTTTCAGGTATTTTAAGAGTATTCTGCACGTATTTTTGATTGCTCCATTTTTTTAGGGTTGGAGTATATTTTGCATGAATTAAATAAATATTTCAAGAAATATATGTGAAAGGTATTTTGTGCCTATTAATTTAGTATTTACATATTTCAAAACGCATAAAGGGAACTTCAAATGTAGTTGAAGTAAAGGTATTTTAAAATGATTTTTAGAAGTATATTTTAGTACTAAGTAAAAAAAAAAAAGAAGTTTATATTTTCGGTCTATTTTTCGTGTACTTAAAATTATGAACTGTATTTCAAATACACTCAAATTAGAATGTGGTATATTTCAAACGTATTAGTTTTCGCTAAGGGTATCCATGCAAGCTATACTCTGCAGTTCAAGCAGCCCGGTAGCTATTCGTCGTGCTTATATATGTTTATATGTTTATACATGGCGCACAAGCTGTCACGCTCTGCCAGAACATTTAGACCGCCTCATCTTAATACATGGGTTCATTGTGCCTGATAACTGCACACGCACACTCCAATCGCAAAACCATACAAGAAGATATGCATGATTTCTTTTCATTGACAAACAGTAAAGATTCAGAACTGATGCTTTGCATCAATTATGTATCTCTACAAAAAATTAAAAAAAAAAGCTCAAAACACGGGAATAATTTAACAGCCAGCGGTTTAAAACAAAGTGAGTGGTGACGATGAACACTTCATTGCATGTGGAGCAAAATTTTGACTAAAAAGAAAAAAAAAAAAAACACCACGCCTGCGCGCGGCACAACGGCGCTTCAAAAGGAAAAGAGCATTCAAAGGAGGTTTGGTGTGCACAAGGCAACGCTCACCTCCAGAACGCAGGGCGTCCGAGCCGCAGGATCCCCGGACTGCGTAGTCTGCAAAATAGGAACTGCAACTAAGGCACGAAGCTCGGTAAACAACACAAATGGTGGCACCGAAAATGCTGCTCTGGGTTTTGTATAATAACCAGTCATCCAAGGCTACCGATGAGAGTCAATATTGCTTAGAAGCCCCGTGTGCAGCTGTCCGTGATTTCCAAGCCTATAAGCTATGTCGCGTAGCCCTCCCCATCTACGTAAATCATCCTCGTTAGGAGGGGGCAGTGTAACCCCCCATTCACACTGGAAGCGGATCCGCGTTCGCGAAGCGGTTGCGAAAGCCATTGTATAAAGATCCAGTGCAATTGCACGCGCATTTGATGTCATCACATGCGCGTGCAATTGTACTGAATCCTTATACAACCGCGTTCGCAACCGCTTTGCGAACGCGGATCCGCTTCCAGTGTGAATGAGCCCTTAGACTTCCGCATGATTGAAGCCAAAAGATTGTGGACATGACTCGTATACACCAACACACTGTTTAAAAACGAGCCCGCGCTTGCCCACACCAGGTGAGGCCATTCCGCGTGCGCAGAAACCATAATCGCGCGAGATATGAAGCGTCTGTGCGCATGCGCAGTGGCGACACCAGCGCCACCGCAATTGGCGTGACATTCGGCAGTTGGTGTCTACGCTTACCTTCTACTCCACGAGTCTTTTTTTTTTTTTCTTTTTCGTATAGGCATTATATTTTTATGTCTTGTTGTAACCTGGTAAGTAGGCTGGGTGCTCTTAAAGTATAATGATTTTCAAATCTCTACCAATGTGCAACAGAAAAAGTCACTGTTGTAACGCACAAGCAGAGGAGCGCGCGCCACAGGCACACCTACACGCACATGCAGGAACAAATAGAAACTGATCTACAACTAAATACACGAAAATAAACGCAGGTGTGGTATACACGAACTCAACTCTCCTACGTCACGCCGCGGTGGTGGCGCGTCGGACGCACTTCCGGTCTGGGGCGGTGGGCAGAAGTCGCCGTGCGAGACATGCATTCCTGTGTTCTTTTCAAAGAAATCAGACAAAAAACCTGCTTTCTCGTGAAAATGCTGCGATGGGGGATGTACCAAAAGAGTCTGGAAAGGTTTGAAGATCAGTTTTCATGTGTTTCTGCCCGCTCGGTTCGTCCAAGTACGTGGATAGTAGCCGTGAAAAGGGTAAACCAGACGCTGTCGAACTACGATTGCTTGTGCGGCCAACACTTTGTGGTCGCCAGATGTATTTGTTTTGTTCCAACATGAACGAGAGAAAACTGCCAAGTTGTCCGGACCACTCACGGGTTCAGTGCGTCTTCAAACTTACACGGCCGCCTGATCATTCGAACTTTCGTCTGCTCTTTCGAACTTGTCTGCTTTTTGTCGTCTGCTCGTTGAAACAAAAGCGGCCCGTAGACCAATCTTTGACCGGTTGATTGCGATAAGAAGTAATTGCAGGCCCCAAACGACTTAAGTAGGCTCGGTGTAAACAGTACATACAAGATGTTGATTATTGGAACCAGTGGCCATCACCGACTTGCTACGCTTGGTCTGTTTCCGCTTCCGAATTTCAGTATCGACGTCGATCATCGCCGCTACCTTCTACACTTTTGCAGCAGGAGCGACGTCGCGACCGAAAATATCTACAAGATTCTCATCGTGGTTTTGGCGTCCATTCTGTGGCGTTCACGCGAATGAATCGCCGCACGTCAAATTATTTACGCAAAGTTTAGCGGTGTAACGAGCCTTGATAGTTTCGCTCAGGCGATTAAAGTGGTAAGATATTGCTATGAGGACGTAGAATCAACAATTCCAACGTGAAAAACAGTATGCAGACTCACACAGACGCCGACAACGTGACATTCCAATGGCTTGTGGACGCGGGACACGGTGCTTCTTGCCCGCACTCCATTTCGCATGCGTTCGAACTGTCGTCTGCTCTTTCAAACTTGTCTGCTTTTTGTCGTCAGCGCGTTCAAACGACAGCGGCCCGTAAACCAAACGTTGGCCCGGTAATTGCGATAAGAACTAAGTGCAGGCCTGAAAACACTTTTGAAGGTTGGTTGTGGTAAGTAGGTTAAGTGTAAACAATAGATACAAGAAGAAGTTGATCATTGTCACCAGTGGCCGTCACCGTCTTGTAATGCCCGATTCTACTTTAGGTTTTCAGTATCGACGTCCACCATCTCAGCTACGGTCCACGCTTTTGCAGCCCGAGCTACGTCGCGACTAAAAATAGCGAGCAGAATCTTATCGTGGGAGTCAGGCTATAGCGCCCATTCTGCGGCGTCCACGTGAAATAAATTGCCACAAGTCACATTATTCGCGCAAAGTTTTGCCTCGTTAATTTTGCTGAAGCCGCTCAAGTAGTCAGACATTGTTAGGAGGATGTAAAATCAACAAATCCAACGTGAAAAAGAGCACGGGGACTCCGAACGACGCCGAAAACAACGCAATGCAATGGTTTGTTTATGGGCGACGGCGGGCTTCTTGCCCACCGTTCACCGCGCATGCGCGGCGCCGGTGGCGTCCGCTAGGGGCGCTCCGGTTTGTTTGTAAACATGAGTTGGTGTATATATACATACTAACGCGCCCGCGCGAGCGCTGTGGCAACAATTATTGCTTGAAACACGTACGAGCATCACGACGAAGTGGTGGTTCTTAGCGGCTCATACAACGATCAATGTTTTTTTTATTTTTTTATTTTTTAGAAACATTTGCGCAATTCATCTGCCGGATGCAACTACATAGTTCTCTATACTGCTCAAGCTTTGCAGATTCCATAGTGTGCAATTCGCTCGCACATTCGACTCCACATGACATACTATCAGATAAGGTCGATTTTTTCATACTAAACAAAAAATTGCGAGTGCTCTTTCAGATATTTCAAGAATTAAGTCGCGTGGAGACTTTTACTTTCTTATTAAGCACTTTTCAACACGACATTTGTAAATAATGAACATTTTGATTTGTATTACTCAGTTGACTGTTCTTCGAAACCTAAAATAGATACAGCATACGATCTCTTGAAACAGACTGTTTCTAGTGTTTTCTATTTTTATATAAATCAAATTGCAGTACTTAATACATATAAGTGTCAATAAATCAAGTGACTAAACATTTTGAAGACGTTAATAACGATCACCGATTTAGTATAGACCTAAAGAAGTAACGGTTCATTCAAATATATTGTACCGCGTGCATATTCCGGGTTACGTGCGACAGATGAAATGCGCATCAATACAGTCGCTCGGGGCTTAAAGGGAAGCTCCGACGTCGATTTGAACGTTTTTAGCAACATATTTTCGGAAAAAGCACAAAAAAAAAAAAAAAAAAAAACTGCGCTTAAAGCAGCAAGTCAATTTCCTCACAAAATTTTCAATAATTTTAATCGTAGAAATGCGATATAACCGATACCGAAACTAACCTGCCACTTTATTGGTCCGCCACTTTGTTATGACATCAGATGTTGTACAGCAATCAGCCTATGGCCAGCTTGAGTCTCTTTCGCCCAGCGTCAGTAGCAGTCAGAAGACCGTCGCGATCGTCCGTGGGAAATAATTGACTACGATTCATCAAGCTTGTCTTAGTCCAGCAATGACCATCGAATGTCATAAGATTTTCAGCGCGAGATTGCAGACGATACGCCTTTCGTATTCGATCCCCCGGCATCGCCTCCGACGACACCTCCAGTGGGGGCTGCATTCGCGACCCGCCGACATCTGGACCCAGATGCCGCTTCGAAGCAGAATGGCATGGAAGGTTTTATTTGCTAGCAAGGTGTGAACTGTTCTCTGGGACGACGCGAACGCTACGAGCCAGCGTTCGCGTCGGACCCACTTCCGTCTCAGGTTGTACTTCTCGGTCGGGAACCAATAACACGTCGTTCTGCTGCATTTCTTCGTGGTGTTATTGCATCCCACAGCCAATCGCCAATATCCCCCCCCCCCCTCCCCTCCCTTTTCAACCCGATGCTGGAAACAGCCTAAACCAGAAGGAATTAACAAAACCACGGACGTTCGCCATCACTACAACGCACGACGCCCTGGAGTGGGGAAGCGTCGTCTGCTCTCGGATACAACGTTTGACGTCACGAGTGACCCTGCTCGTTGTTGCCAGCAGATCGGCAGCAAGTAATTCTGAGGTGTACGCCGTAAGCTTCGAAATTAATTTTCTCGAAAGAAAATTAATAGTTTGATTAAATACTTCGTAGACATACTCACGGGCGGATATTTAGTACAATGTGATAATTTTATAGAACATCAATGACCATAAATATTTCCCCCTTGGAACGCCGTTCCGCACATGACTGGTATTTGGCTGGGGGGGGAGAAGGTGTCTGGAGAGAGATGACGTAATGGGCGAAGCGATACCCATATCTATTTTATTCACCTAATATATGCTTGCCATGCCATCAAAAAAAAACATGTCTTCCTTCCAAAGCTGGTGTACGTCGTTTGTTTGTTTGTTTAATGAAACAAAATTTACTTTTTTTTTGTTTGGGGAAGGGGGGGGGGGGGGGGGGGGGGGGCGGCGGGTAGCCGCTACCCAGATTCGTTTAGGCCCCCCCCCCCCCCTCTCACCCCTTTAAATCCGCCCGTGCTTTTACCTCAAAGCCAAGGGAAACACACACGCAAGAGAAAAAGAAGAGAAAGGACCACTCCACCGCGCAGGGAAATCGACACGGAACTCCGATGCACCCGACGACGACACACACTCACCGCCGCGATCAATACCAGCTACTAACGGTAGAATATATATATAAATATATATATGCACCCAGTAACGAATTTGGATTAATCAGACTAGGGTTAAAATTACCGCATCTCTATTTCCGTCGATATAGATCGAAGTACAGAACGATGGGCAGTTAGCACGAAGAAGCTAGCGGTGGCTTTGGTTTTAAGTGAAAATCTTCAATTGAGAAAACTATACTTGTTTTCACCTCAAAAACCGTAGTAAAAAAAAAAGAAAAATAAAGTCCGTCTTTTTACGGAGCATTACTAATTTCTTCCTTTTTTATGCGGAGAAATAAGATTCATGTGGGTGCATTTTTGACTACATAATGCTACCTTGACATGCGGGTGCATTTTAGATTACATAATGCTATCTTGTAAAGACCGTACACGTTTACCGTAAAAACGCTAAAATCGTCGCTTCTTCCTCCAACAACTAAATCTTGTAAGAACTACTTCGTGCGAACAATGCGCAAACCTTTTTTTGTTGAAGTGAAAAAAAGGAGGTGCGTTAAGAATAGCTCATTAGGACCACCAAGTGTAATAGTACAAGTTGATGCTCGTCGATACGCCGTCCTAGTAAAATCCGAATAAATGCTGACATCGTTGTAACTGTCGCGTAAGTACAGCTGTAAAAAAAAAAATGTTTTTATTTTATTTTATATGGAGTATATAACATCTCGATCCATGTTTCGCCATGGCCACTTTTTAGTGCGAGAACGCCGCAATATTGACAGCGCTTCTAAATGTTCGTATTTTCCGTGATGATAATGGCATCCTGGATTTCGACATGTTTTCGAAAAGAATACAAACCAAGATGGAGAAGGCAACAGCAAGTGGAGAGACAAACTGGGAGCGCAGAAAAAAATACGAATGTCGAACCTTCGGTAGTGACACGCGATTGGTCGGTTCCCACACGTGCGATCAAACGGCAAGCGGCGAGGTTACAAAATGCTAACCACATCATTGCGAACGAAAAGGTCCCCACAGAATCACTCGGATTGGATGACGGAAGCAACGCACAATTTCGATCGAGACGACACTCTCAGGAACCCGGATGTCGGCAAAATGGCGACACTGGCGCGCGGCAGGACGTTTGCTCCCCTCGCAACCAAAACGAGAAAGCTTCCGCTAACCAGATGATTTAGCGTGACTCGCTTGCGTAACGCAAACGACGTCACGAAGGCTCCAGGGGCCGGCCGCGCCGGCGTCATGGCGCGCTACCATTGGCCGCCCCACATACTGCCACGTGCGTTCCTCACAAGCAAGGTTGCCTGACGACATCGAGCCGTTTCTTTTTGTGTGTTTGTACGCATTTTCGATTTTTTTTTTATTTAAAACTAGGCATTTAGCGTTCAAAGTTGCTTTCTAACACGATGACGCCTGTTACAAATTGAGAATGTATGCTAATAATTTTGTTTTCCGTTCTTGACCCACGGCAAAACAGCTGCGACGCGGGGCTTCGCAGCGCCGAGGTGGGCTGGAGAATTGAGACTAAGGGCCGTTTGATATTTCGCCACATATTCGCGTTCGGAAGGACCGCACGATGTGGGAAAACAGAAGGACTTGGTCGTCGGGTGATGCGTGTGACTTCTCGACCCCTGACAGCAACGTCAGGTCCCGGCACCTTGTTGCGCGATCGGGTCTTTTCCGAGGTAGCGGTATTCCGCGTCGAAGCGCGCGGACCGCTAACCCTTTCGCGCTGCGACTCGTCGGCCCGTTTCGGCTGCGTCGGGGCGGTACGCACCTTTGGCCGCGAAGGCAGAGTTGGCGGAGGTGACTAGCGCCGGCGGCGGCTTGACCACGTCCTTGGGCGGCGGTTGGTCCAGCAGACTCTTGGGGTCCACTTCTTCAAAGACCGCGCGCCCGCTCGCCTCGTCCTGCGCCTGAGCGCGCCTCAGCGCCACTTGCTGTGCCATGACCACCTGCCGTTCGGCGATCAGTCTGCACTTGGAGCAGACGCAGATACGGTACGGACAGTAGCGCTTGTGGCCCCGCACGGCCACCTTGCGGTTGTGGTTCCGGCACCGGGCGCACTGGGGACTTCTCGCCCCCGAGCCGGCAATCTTGGCTGGGGAAGCGGCCGCCGAGGATGTCCCCGGTGCCGTGCCGCCGGCGGACCGACCGTCCTTGCTGGGGAGCCTCCCGGGACCGTCCGCGGGCGCCCGAGACTCCATGAGGATCATTTCCCTGGAAGTGACCGGGAAATTCCCTGCCCGTCTCGCCGGGGAACGTTGGGAGCCAGCGGCCGCCGTCGAAGTCGCCAGACGACGCGGATGACGACGCGCGGCGCGGTGGATAAAGTAAACACAAAGGGCGCAGGCAGCGCGCGGCGGGCGCAACGCACAAACGTTAAAAGCGGCGGCAGACGGGGTCACGTGACGGCGGCGCGTCCTTGGCGCTGTCTGGCGGCGGCACTGCGAAGCAGAGCTCTCGCCGCCTGCATTGCTCGCACGGCCGGCGTCGTCTGCAGCGCCGAATCAAAGGAAAAGAGAGCCGCGCAAAGCGAAGGCGCGACGGAAAGACCGTTGCACCCAAGGCAGACGCTACGACCACGGCCCCGTCAAAACAAGTGGTGCCATTGATCAGGGCCGCCGCCGAGGTGGCCAGGTTCGGCGCTCAGAGTTCAAGGGTGGGATAGGATCCTTCATGAGTCATGACGTTGACGAGGATCATGACGGGAATGCGGCGCGAGGGGGGATTAGGCTTTGTCTTGACCAGCGCCGATTCTAGTAATTCGGATGATACGATGGCCTTCGTCGGAGATGGTCGCGGTGGCGCTTGCCGTTGTTCGCGTTTCTAAGCATCGGTGGTGCGACGCAAACAAGTCTCTCTCTCTCTCTCTCTCTCTATCCATCTATGTATCTATCTTATGTTTAATTGGGCTCTAATTTCCTGGGGCAGCTGTTCTCTGCGATTCGTGGCTGGTAACGTTTTCTGTCTTGTGTGTCCATGTGCGGTGGCCTATGAAAGTGGACGACCCATTCCGGACAATTTAGTAGTGAACGATGGAGCTCTCTGTTTTAGACCGGTTTCTGTGCTCCCAAATTACAGGCATATCAGTTGATGCAGGAAGCTTTGAAAAATAATCGACGAATGTCCATTTTTGCCCACGAGCTTGCAATCGGATCTGTTTGCTTCATTGTCATATAATAATGCAAATAACATCTTTTTTTTTTTTTTGGGGGGGGGGGGAAGGGGGGGGGGGGGCATAATTGATTTAGATAAAAGTGTCGCCGGTATAACAAAGGGCGGTGTGCTCTTACGATTATTCTGAATGGACTTTCGCGCAATAAATTAATCGTAAACACGCACAAATAAAAAAATAAAAAATCGCGCGTTTTTTTTTTTTTTTTTGCAACAGGTGGTTTGCACGCGACATTTCTTATTCCTGTACTTGTAGTTTTTTGGGAAAGAGCGAGAATAACGCAGGCTACTGTATGACTCGAAAGTGTGCAAATATAACAATCGAAAGTTCTAAAATTAAGGGAGTTGAAAAAAATATTGCACTAGAGATTTTGTAGGAATGTAACAAAGACGGCATAATTTCAGATGCGACACGTTCACTGCAATATATATATATATATATTGTGGTCGATTTAAAGAGCCTGGCGTCTCCTTGAATCACCCTGTATATATATATCTTTTTTTTAGCACGAACAGGTTTAAACTTGTGGGCTTTGAATGCGCCGAGGCTACGCTAGGGCGTCAGCCGTCGCCACACGTGCACCCGATTGCACACGCATGCAGGGGCAAGGTGTGTATGTAGTTGGCAATAAAAATACATAAAACAGCGCAAAAAAAAAACGAAAAAAAACGCAGGGACAAGTGTTAGACACGCACAAACACAACGCTGACTTTCGACTGTCATTTTCTTTCATAACAAACTGCATCGACAAAAATAAATAGGTAAGAAAGGGAACGAGACTAGACATCTCCCCATCAAGCCATCGAGTGCAACACCGTCAAAGCAATGGGCGTCAGACTGATCAATCGGTGAAAATTCAAAGTCGGAAAGAGTTACTGACTCGCATCCTATCAAACCAGAACCGTAGCAATGGCGAATAATCAACTTCGGGAATTTCTCCATGGTTACGGACAGTAACGCAGGGTGGTGCAACATCCGTGTATCTCATTAATGCTCCACGGCCAATAGGATTGCGGCGTTCGTCGGTTAGACAGCCGAAGAACCAATCACGAAGCAAGAAGCGTGAACGTCGCGAGTCCATGCCCGGCGTTTTCTGGGCCGTCAGTGACTATAGGGGTCTCACAGGGATGCAAATATTTTAGTATTAGTATTACAGTGCGGGGTACAACCACATTCACTGCAGTGCACGGCTTAATGCTCAGCAATCTATCGAGGGCACTTAGGCGTACACCGTAATGAATTTGGTTTCTTCCTCCATTCCTCCCTTCGGGCCAGTCTGATCGAGTTGAAATGAAAACACTCATATACAGTAGGCCCGCGATAATTCACTCGGATATTTCACACTTCTGGTTAATTTGAACAAATTTCAAAGTTTAGGTTGCCCCGCAATGTTTTCGAAGAATTTGTCGTCCGCTTAATAAGGACGGCGGTATCGTGTACTAATTCATACTTTTGTGTTCTCGCGGCCCCGTTGAGCGCGCATCTTTCCGAGCAACGGTGCACTGAGGGAAAGCAATATCCGCGGAGCTTGTTTCCGTTGGTGTTGCTTCTTCACAGTGCACCGGTGCTCAGTAAGAAGCGCACTCAACGGGGTTAAAGCAGGGACACCTGAGAGATCAGAACGGGTGCCGCTGCCGCAGCTGGCATTCTTGATCCGTCAATCCTAGTCTTTCGCTGCTAGTCATACCGCTCGGCCACGACCCCAGCTCTCTTTCTGCTCTCGACCTCGGTACGACGAAAGCTAAGAATCTCGGCGAGCTCACCCTCGGCATCCGGGCGGATTGCAACAGAGAGGGGGATATCTGTGTAGAGGAGAGCGAGTCGATCGAACGGCCGGTGTCTTGTTCTGTTGCGTTCGGTGACGTTGAGTCTCTCTCTAACGTCCCCGACGCCCTGTAAGTGGTGTTGCTTGACTGCCGCAGGTGGTAATCCAGCACAATCTCCTTCGGCAGGGCCCTGGGAAGCATGTCCGATATCATTGTGCAGTAGGTTGCCGATCCCACGCCGAGACCTCTCAGCCCTCGGATGTTGGTCTGCACATGGTCGTAGATCCTCCTCCGTCCCCTTGTGCCATTCACGCACGCCACAAGAGGCAGAGATCGGAGTTTCATCAGATGGTCTTGCTCAATTCTTCGCCGGTCGCCGAACCGCTGCTTCAGGATGTGGATGGCATTACGCAGCAGGCCTACGTGGCCTTCAGTCCTGCGATTGCGGCAGCGGCCGGTCCGGTGACGAGAGTGCCAAGGTAATGTAACTTTTCCGATTGTGTGATGTTGTCGTTCTTGTAAATAGCACCATTGAACTGCTCCCAGAAGCTCTGCCAACCGCTGACCTCTCCATTGATGTCTGGAGTCGCAACTTCGGGAGCTTCACTCCTCTTGTCCTGTTGGAAGGAGAGGAGGTACTGAGGTTGTCGCCGATGTGGTCTCGTTCAAGGGCACCGGTGTTGGCAGTTCCTTTTGCCGTAGCGATGCTATCTTACAGCTCAGCAGCGATAGCACTCGGGTGGCGTCGTCGTCCTACTCGGAGACAGTCGTGTATTCCGCGACGCGATCCACTATTGGCACTTGGTTCTCGATCTCTACATTTAGGGACCGAAGCTTCTGGTTGCATGTACTGAGTCGTTCTAGCCAGGCAGCCACCATGGCCAGATCCGGTGTCTCCATCCCCGCCGATGCCTCGTTGGTCTGCCTTCTGTTTTGCGCTCATTTCACTCCACGCTTTACTTTTAGCCGTTCCATCGTTAGTCGTTCACAAACACGCAAATAGCTCCTTCACAGCGTTCGAGTGAGGCGGTCACAAAGATCAAAACCGCTCACCTCATTCGATGTTCTTTCCCGGGTTTCGTCACCATATTTTCTTTGTGTGGCAGAAGTTGCGCGTGGTTCTATATTAATTTTAATCAGGAAAACCATATTACATCAACTGGATTACAAAAAACAATATTACCATGATATGCATGTACGCAGTCATTGTTCAGATGGCGTCGCCGCAATCCTCTTTTTTCAAGTTTTTTTCGTTCCACTGATCTCTCTCCCCCCCCCCCCCCCCCCCCCCCCCCCCCACACACACACACACAGAAAGACACTCGCCCAAGCAGTTGTCTCCCGGCACACGTCTCCCTAATTCCCGCCGTCGCTCCCTCAGTGGGTCCTTGCAAGTTGCTATTGAAATCGCCGCGCAACGCCCGCTTTCGGCCCTCATGTGTGTTTTGCGTAATAGTCCATAATCAGAGGTGGAACGGCTGCGCCATCTGCGCCATTTTGCGCCAGACACATTTGTCTGCGCCATCCTGCACCATTTTGCGGAAACTGCGCCACAGCCAATACTTCACGCCATTGTGCTCCAAATCGCACAACGTGCGCCAAAATAGTTCTATTTTGTCTTGGTTTCGGTTTTTGTCGACTCGAATGACAACAATGAGCGCGTTTAGCTTGGTCGGCCTTAACCACATTCCTGCAAGATAAATCCGGATTTGATTGAACTGAAACGCTGTCCGATCCGAATCATTGCCGGCCAGGAGCTCTCACGCGAGCGGTAGATCTCCTCGGCGTACTTTAATCTTGCTCTGGCTCATCGCTTCGAGTATGATAACTCCGTTAATCGTAGCATGATGCTTCGATATTGAGTTGTACAGCAGGATAGACTCAAAATTTGTTGCCCTGTTCCTCCGTGCAACTGCACGCCCGTTGCTTACGCACGTCACGTAGATCGCACATATAATTACTATGTCGAGCAGGTGTGGGTCGTGCTATAAACAGTGCTGGTTTGCATTTTGAGCAGCTGAAAGCCACTCAGAAAATATCAAGGACACTATCTTCGGAAACATATGGTACTTGCTTTTTGGTTCTCACTAAGGCCACGTTTTTGCACCTGTTACTCTGTTATCCCATCTACATAAATTCCTAACCACTCATACTCATCTGTGCTGCTAAGCACAATTGAAACTGCTCCCGTGCTTGTCTAAGACACAAGCTGAAGTGCAACGAAAACTGATCTGAGCTGCTCCTAGCCTGCTCCAGAATGTAGTTTTAGCTGCTCCCAGCCTGCTCTAAAACAGCAGTTTCAGCTGCTCCCGTGGCTGCACCCAAGTACATTTCATGAGTTCCACCCCTGATAATAGACAACATTTTTGCTGGATGTACAACTTTTTTTTTTTAGGTGTCATTTACTGCCTGAACAGTCCACGGTAAACAAGATCTTTGAGGGATGACTAAACTTATATCATGCACCTCAC